TTGCTATTGGAAAGACTTATTTTTCACTATGGAAGTCTGAAACTTTACTAATATCAAAGTGGAAAGTTTGGATTTATGCTGAATCAAGAAAAGATTCCCAGAAAGCAAGGACAAGCCTGGAAAGAAATAGAATCTTGACAACAATGGTCCATAGATTATTGGTTTTCTGTCTCACACCAGTTGGCTCTTCTGATATGAGACAGAATCTCCTAATTTTTCTTTTAGCAATATGCTTGTGTTTAGAAGAGGGAGCTACATTCCAACTCCAAAGCCAGCTTGATTTATAATTGATTCCGGACCATGGCTATTCTAGAGTTAAAGAGGTATCAATGTTAGGCAGTGAGATATTACCCTGCAGAGTATATTAGTACTAATAAGTCCTTCCTTTCTGCTGTAGACATCTAGGTGTACAAAGCCTTATGATTTCTTGAAGATGGGTATTTCTATTATTCTGTAAAGACAAAAAACATAACTCTGCCCTGAACTTTGTTTGTTGAGTTTTTCTTACAACTTGTAGAGTTGCCACATCAGCAGATGAGCTATTACTTCTCATCAAGGGGTTTCTCCTGTTCAAATCAAATTTTTATTAATTTTCTAGGTATCCATAGCTTTTAGTCTCCTATGGAAACAAAAGCAAAACCCCTTCCCCAGTATAGGATGTATACTGGTTTCCATTTTGAGGTCAACACATCTTTGAAGTAAACCAGTTGGTTTAGCTCAGGAGTTTTTTTTTCTGTTGTCCAATGTCTCTCTGCAGTTGTTGTTCCTTTCTCATCAGCATTGAAAAAAATTCAAGATCAGTAAAGCATTATGTAATCTGTTTCTAGGGGTCATTTTTTCTTTCTGTTTATTTAGCATATCCTTTATAGTTCGATTATATCTTTCTATGACTGCTTGCCTGTGGGATTGTGTGGTATACCTGTAATGTGCCATATATTGTAATAAGCAAAAAACTGTCTCATTTTGAGACACATGATGGAGCATTGTCAGTCTTAATTTGTACAGTTTTTTTCCATGATGGCCATAACTTCTAATAGGTATGTAATTACAGAGTCAGACTTTTCAGAGCTCATAGGAATTTCCCATTGAAATCCTGAATAGGTATCAATGGTATGGTGTACGTATTTTAATCTTCTAAATTCTGCAAAATGAAATACATCCACCTTCCAAATTTTATTCCTTTGTATATCTTTAAGGTTGCTTCCTGCAAGTAATGGAGTTTGGTTATAGAAGGAACAAGTAGGACTTTTTTTTTTTTTTTACAATTTCCTTGGCTTGTTGACAAGTGATGGAAAAGTCTTTCTTCAAACCTTTACTATTTAAATGGTATCTCTTATGAAATTCTGAGGCTTCTAGCACATTACTTATTAATAACTGATCAATCTCATCATTACCTTGTGCTAGAGGACCTGGCAGACTTGTATGAAATCTGATGTGTATTATATATATAGG